CACACACAGGCACACATACAGACACATACAGGCACACAGAGGGACACACACAGAGATAAAGAGACACACATAGAAACACACAGATACATACACAGACACAGACAAACACAGAGACACACAGACAAACACAGAGATGCACAGGAACACATAGACACACACAGACACAATCAGATACACACACACAGAGAGACACACAAACAGACACACAGACATGCATAGAGACACACAGACACACACTGACACACACAGAGAGACACACAGACATGCATAGAGACACAAAGACAGACACACACACACAGACATGCACAGGGACACACAGACAGACACACCTAGAGACACACAGACACAAACAGACACACACAAAGACTCACAAATAGACATACAGATAAACACAGACACGCACAGGCACACATACAGAACACATATGGGCACACACAGACCCACACATACATGCACAGAGGCACATACATGCACAGAGGCACAGACATGCACAGGGACACACAGACACACACAGAGACACGGGCACACATAGACACACACACAGGCATGCATAGAGACACAGACACACACACAGAGACACACAAACACACACAGACACAAAAAGATACAGACACACACAGAGACACTCACAGAGGTACACAGACAGACACACGCAGCGACACACAGATACACACAGAGATACACAGATTGACATACCCACAGACACACACAGAGACATACAGACAGACACATACAGTTACACACAGAGACACACACACAGACACAGAAACACACAGACACACATAGAAATGCACGGAGATGCAGAGATACACAGACACACACAAACACACACAGAAACACACAGACATGCACAGAGACACATAGACACATAGACAAACACAGAGATGCACAGGAACACACAGACACAATCAGATACACATAAACATACAAACAGACACACAGACACTCAGAGACACAGACATGCAACAGAGACACACATAGGCACACATACAGACACACAGTCATACACAGACACTCAGACCCATACACATACACACACGGACACAGAGACAGACACACACAGGCAAACATACAGAACACACATATGGGCACACACACACACATACACGCACAGAGACACACACACAGAGAAATGCACAGAGACAAACAGACATGCACAGAGATACACAGACACACACAGAAAGACACACAAACAGACAAACAGACATGCACAGAGACACAAAGACACACATAGACACAAACAGATACACAGACACACAGACAAACACAGAGACACACAGACACCCACAGATACGCACAGAGACACACACAGGTACAGATACAAACACACATATGGGCACACACAGACTCACAGATACACAGACACAGAGACATGCACAGGGACACACACACACAGACACGCAGAGACACACAGACACAGAGATGCACAGAAACACACAGACACACACGGAAACATAAACAGACACAGACAGACACACAGATACGCACAGAGACACACACATGCACTCATACAGACACACATACGGGCACACACAGACTCACAGAAACACACAGACAAGCACAGGCATGCACAGAGACACACAGACACACAGATACACACAGACATGCACAGAAACACACAGACACAGACAGACACACAGATACGCACAGAGATGCACAGAAACACACAGACACACACGGAAACATAAACAGACAGAGACAGACACACAGATACGCACAGAGACACACACATGCATTCATACAGACACACATACGGGCACACACAGACTCATAGAGACACACAGACACACACAGACACGCACAGAGACACACGGAAACAGAGACACACACACAGATACACACAGAGACACACACAGGCACTCATACAGACACACATATGGGCACACACAGACTCACAGAAACAATGACACACACACAAACACACAGACACACACAGGCACACAGACACACACGGACACAGACACACACAGAAACACAGAGACACACACAGACACACACAGAGACACACATAAATACATACACACAGATACACGCACAGAGACACACAGAGACCCAGACACTAACAGAGATACACAGAGAGAAACAGACATACACAGAGACACACAGACACACACACAGACACACATAGAGACAGAGACACAGAGAGACACAGACACTCACAGAGACACACACACACATACACACGGAGACACACAGACCTGCACAGACACACACAAAGACACACATACACAGACAAACACAGAGAGACACAGACACAAACACACAGGGACACACACAGACACATGGAGACACAAAGATACACAGAGACACACACAGCGACACACAGACAGACACACAGAGACACACAGATACACACAGAGACAGAGACACAGAGAGACACACAGACACACAGACAAACACACAGTGACACACAGAGCTGCACAGACACATATATACACACAGACATATGCAAAGAGACACACACATACACACAGACAAACACAGAGAGATACAGAGACACATAGACACACATAGAGACATGCACAGAGACACACAGACATGCACAGAGACACACAGACACACACATAGACACACATAGACACACACACACACAAATTTAGACACTGTCTAAAATTATTTGTCTCTGTGCATGTCTATGTATGTGTCTGTGTATGTCTGTGTGTGTCTGTGTGTGACTGTATGTCTTTGTGTGTCTCTTTGCATATCTGTGTGTGTTTGTCTCTGTGTGTGTCCGTGTGTGCAAATTTAGACACAGTGAGACACAGATAAACACACACAGAGACACAGAGACACATAGACCCAGACACACAGATACACACATAGACACATACCCAGACGCACAAAGAGACACAGACACCCACAGAGACACACAGACATACACAGACACATACATAGACATGCACAGAGATAGACATACACACAGACATGCATAGTGACACACAGACATAGACAGAGATACACACAGAGACGTACAAACAGACACAGAAAGAGACACACAGACAGACAGACACACACACAGACAGACACACACAGAGATCCACAGACAGACAAACACACACACGCACACACAGATATGCACAGAGACACACACAGGCACGTAGACACATAGACACATACATACCTCAAATTTCCTACTAAATTTGTGAAACTTTGATTTAGCTGAAGAATAAGTTAATTTTGGTAAATAAAATAATCTATGCTTCATGTATATTGCCTTTATGCATTTGGTTTTGAAGGAGTGATACCTAGAATAGTTTTGCTTTTTACAGAAATTGCTCAGAAATAATCCACTAAGTGCAACTTTATCCAGAATAATCGCAAAGTAAATCTAGCCTGTTTAGTTTGATTATTTCAGGATGACCAGTTTCTTAGGAGACTCCAGAAATTAATACATAGATGTGAAAGAATACTAGGAAGCAGCCTTTTCAGCTGAGAATCATAAATGTGGATACCAATGAGATTTCATTCCCCACTCCACCAGTCAGGAAGCATCCTTGGCATTGTGCATGCCCTGTGTTATACTTGAAAGTTTACATGGGGGAGAATTGAGGCCAAGGAAGCCTAATCTCTGGATTAGTCTCGCTCAGATTTATGTTCTCTCAGTCTTTATTTAGTAACCGAAGACAAAAACAATTGATTAGATTTAAGGGATACTTTGCATAAATATGGAGTCATTACTGTCACTAAGGAGAGATCTGCAAAGGATTGCAGGGAAATAAGCGCCCTGAGTTATAGATCCCCTCCCCTCCCTCCACTCCTGGGGAAAACACAGTTCCCAGGATATGTACTGAGTCCCCTGTTTCTTGTACTTCTCCTAATCTCTTGGTGTACTTGGCAGAGGAACGTACTTGCAGATAGCACTTACTTAGCACATAGCATTTAAAAATGAGCTTCTGCTCTGTGAAAGAAAAAGCCGACCTGGGATATTGGAGGCTAGTCTTCAGGGACAGAAGGTAGGGACGTGAGCCCTCCCTCAAGATTTTAGCCCCACTTCCAAGAGAAAACAGTACAAAACTCAGTCCAAAGGGCAGAAAGGCAATGACATCCCCCAGGGTGCCAGAGGCAGCTAAGGGTGATTTGTGACAGAGCACAGAGAGCAAACGATTGGTAAGGAGGAGTATGGATTATCAATAAAGGCAGAGTAGTGAATGGCGTCACTTTCCAAATGCTGCGCTTGGTCAGCTTCACAAATCTGAAATCAGTCATGACAGCTTGTTGGTCACTTATGATCATACCTCCTGGTAAGTGTTTCACAAAGAGTTTACAAAAATGGTGGAAGCGGCTGAGGAGTGTGCTCTGTCATTTCCTTATTCACATAGCAAGAGACAGCGACCGAGGACCAACCATAGTCAGTCACTCTGGTCCTGAGCACCGGGCCCTCCGCAGTCACCAGACTCAGTACAGCCACTGCCCGTTGAGGTTGCTAGGTGGCCACAATGCCAGGTGCTAGTCTCAGCTCTCCAGCTAGCTGTAAGGCTGTGGCAAACCTCCCTCCTTTCCAGGGATTTGTTTCTTCCAATTCAAATGATGGTCAAACTCACCCCTTCTCGGCGATAGGACTATCCCGGGTGCTTAGCTAAGATCAGAACCCCTTGACAAATCTGTAGGCTACTGAACAAAATGGAACAGAAAATGAAAAATTATTTTAACTGAAATGAAGAGACAGCAAAGCATCTAAGACTCCTTCTGTATCTGCATCCAGAAAGCATGGGACCTCGGCTTCATGTTTTCCTGTGGGGTGAAGGCAGCTGAGCTTTTCTGAGAGGCAAGGCAATGTGATGGGAACCCAAAGAACTTGGATACATAGATATAGCTAGTCTCGAACCTTTGACCTTGGGCTGTTCCTGGGGCCTCCTGAGTCTCACGTTTCCTATCTGCAATATGTGGCCTATAGTATTCTGCCTATGGCTTACAGACCATAGGTCCTTATGCTGAACCGAGCTGTGTTACGTCTGCTTTGAGGCTGAGTGAGACAACAGAGGATGCCATTTTTCTTTCAGCTCACCCTTGACCACACCACAGCCCCCATCTGCAGTGCAAGTCAGCGGGGGTTCCGGCAGTTCCAGTGAATCAGAGAGCAGCTCCGAGTCCGACTCCGACACCGAAAGCAGCACCACTGACAGTGAATCCAATGAGGCCCCTCGTGCGGCTACTCCGGAGGTGGGTGAGGGTGCTAAGGCCCCAACTACAATATGCTTGTCCTTCTGGAATAGCTGTCTCACGTGCACACACACACACACACAGACACACACCCAGAAAGCATGGGACCTCAGCTTAAAGTCTTCATGTGGAGTGAAGGCAGCAGAGCTTTTCTGGGAGGCAAGGCAATGTGATGGGAAATGTTATTTTCACCACAACAATTACTTTAGCACAATAACTACTTCAGAAAAGTCTCCAGGAATTTGAAAGCATTTTCTTTCTTTCAAACATATATCTGTATAGTCCGCCCCTAGCATGTGTATATTTCTGTCCACGTGACTGAGTTTCTGGATACTGACTAGCTACTCTGAGCCTCAACCTTCCTCACACATAAAACTAGCACAGTAATGACTATGGTCTGGTAGCTTCTCTTTTGAGAGAACCAGTCAAGCCAGTTAGGAGCCCCTCCTGGCCCTGGGGATGCTGACCTTTACTCGAGGGGGTCCAGCCTCTTTTTTGCTTGGCTGCACATTGGACGGCTAAGAGTTGTCTTGACCACACATTAAATACGCAAATACTAAGGACAGCTGATTAGCAATAAAAAGGTCAGCACGTATATTTCATGATATCCAACACCACAGATAAGCAAAATCAGTCCTCACAAATCCAGCATGTGGCCCAGCTACAGATTACACACCACTGAGAGTCTACATAGTTATTAAAGCATGAATTGGCATTTGGCAAATAAATCCCAAGAAATATGGCTAAATGGTAAATTGATAGTTAAAAGATCACATATTTTGTATTTTAGTTTTCATCCTTCAAGTGTGTTTGATAATAACTGATGAAAACATTTAATATGGCCCCATAAAATATCAAAATAAAATAAAGGAATTTGCTTCCCATTCTCTCTGAGTCTACGTTAGCTGCTCAGTTCCCTGGAGCTTGAAGCTGACACAGCAAGAAAATCCCATGGTTCTTCATACACTTGTTTTTCAAAACTCAAAAAGGAAAACTAGAAGGAGGCAGTAGTCATGTTACTCTTATTGATAAAAGCAAACACTTCCAGAGCAGGGACCATGTGCCAGGCACTGAGCTACGCTCTTGATTTACCTTTTCTCTTTTCATCCTCACGACCACCCTCTCGGGTACTTGCTATCATTATCTTTGTTTGACAGATGAGAGAATAAGGTTCTGAGACGTTAGAAAAGAACTCTCCCAAGATCTACCAGACTGATGGTGGTAGAGCTAGGACTGAAACCCAGGTCCCCGGCTGCCATAGCTGATGCTCTCAATCCCAGAGCTGTGCTGCCCACAGTGGCGGCTGATAAAAATTCTTTAATGTGTACCTACCATCGTCCTGTGCAGGTTGGAATCACAGTTACTCAAGTGTTTGTAATTCTGTCACCCTCTATTGGCTGGTGTCATAAGCCTCAGCTGATGGCTTTCAAAAGAAGAGCTCTTCTAATAAAAACTATGGCTCTTTTAGTTCAACCAGCGGAAGTCAGAGTTGGGAATCAACTCTGAGTAGTACGCATCATTTCCATGGTTTAACAGTGGATACTAATGTCTGCGTGCGTGTCCCCATAAATTGGTTATTGCTCATATACTGAGGAAAGTGCAGCGGTTTCCTTTTTTAAAAAAAAAAATCAAATCTTTTTATCCTTCAGTAAAAATACAAAAGACCTGCTTTGTTTTCAGGGAATGACAGCATCATACGGGAGGCACTGGCACTATGAGTGACATGTGAGGCACACTCATATTCCTTTGTAGGATCAGAGTCTATTACCTCTCCCTCCTGGTGAGAGGTTGAATGATGATTCCTGCCAAGGATTGTAGGAAGAGATTTTCCTTCCAAGCACCTCTGCGCACCCCCTAGAACAGTGATTCTCAACCTTCCTAATGCTGCTGCCCTTTAATACAGTTCCTGTGGATCGTGACCCACAGGTTGAGAACTGCTGCCCTAGAACATCTCTCTGTGAATAAGTCTTTTGTTCCCAACCAGAGAAGAGAGTATTTTCAGAGGAGGAGTAGAAATTTATTTAAACAAGTAGGCTATAGCTGGCTTGTATCTGGCTATCTAGGTAATTGAATTATGGTGGATAGTGTTTGTGTGTGTGTGTGTGCACATGTATGGATGTGAATGTGTGTACATAAGTGAATGATCACTGAAAACTTTTATTAGCAAGTAGTCACTGTTCTGAGGGCTCTTCTGAATTCTTCTCAAATGTGAAATTCATTCTTGCTGCTATTTCTTAAACTGTAGCCTGAGCCACCCGCAACCAACAAGTGGCAGCTGGATAAATGGCTTAACAAAGTGACATCTCAGAATAAGTCATTTATTTGTGGCCAAAATGAGACACCCATGGAGACGATTTCTCTGCCTCCTCCTATTGTCCAACCGATGGAAGTCCAGATCAAAGTGAAGACAAACCCCAACCAGATCATGGCTGAACCCAAAGAAAGGCCTCTCCTCAATCTCATTAGGGAGAAAGCCCGTCCGCGGCCCACCCAGAAAATTCCAGAAACAAAGGCTTTGAAGCATAAGTTGTCACCAGCTATTGAAACAGCTTCTCAAAGGACAATTGGGAAAAAACAGCCCAAAAAGGCTGAGAAGAGCACCAGCATGGATGACTTTTCCTGGCTCAAACCAAATATTACCAGCAGCACTCCCAAAGAAAAAGACAGCATGGAGCTTCCTGACCCACCAAGAGGCCGCAACAAAGCTACTGTCCACAAACCAGTCCCTAGGAAAGAACCAAGGCCTAATATCACCTTGGCTGCTGAAAAGAAGAAGTACAGAGGGCCTGGCAAGATTGTGCCAAAGTCCCGCGAATTCATTGAAACCGATTCGTCTACATCTGACTCCAGCACGGATCAAGAGGAGACTCTGCAGATCAAAGTTCTGCCTCCTTGCATTACTCCTGGAGGTAATACTGCGAAACCCAAGGAAACCGGTGGTGCCAACTTGACCCTCAGCAACTTCGTCAGCAGCAACGGCAACAGCAACAACTCATCCATCAACAACGAAGAACCAACGTTTTCACCCATTTCTGCTACACCAAGTGAGCATCTGTCCCCTGTACAATCAGATCAGGAGAATCTGAAAAACCTATGGGTGAAGATCGACCTTGACTTACTCTCTAGAGTACCCGGCCACAACTCACTCCAAGCAGCACCTGCCAAGCCAGACCATAAGGAAATGGCCACAAAACCCAGGCGTCAGACTGCTGCTACAGTGGTGGAAAAACCGGCCCCTAAGGGCAAGCGTAAGTACAAGGTAAGCTGTCTAAAGTAGCCTGTCAAGTGATTGTGAGCAGTGGCTTTCAAGGAGGCCAAAGGCACTGGATTGCAGGCTTTGGTGAAAGTAATGATGCTTTCCATGGGAAATGAAATAGCTGACATTAATAAGGAGAAAGCCCTGGAAAGGATCAGTGTTAGGCAGCCAATGGCAGGAGTATCTAATATGGCACATGTGACATTGTGATGTATAGGAAAGAAGATAAAGAGAACCCCTTTCCCCAGGCAGTCAATCCCTGGAGTCAGCTTCTTAAGCTGCTTTTATTTTCATGGACTCATGTATCATTGCTCTGAGGTCCCACATGCCAGCCAGCATCAGCAAGGCACCCAAGTGTCCCCAGTGTCCAAATGCATCCTTTGGGGCTTGGTAATTTGTCTGAGCAAATGTTAGCATCCCCACAATTCAATTATGCATCAAGTCTCCGGGCTCTTACTCGATATGTGTTCTGCCTAGCCTGCTGGGCTCACTGACTGTGTGGTAGGTTTGACCTGTGAAAATCTCTTGTGCAGGTTAAGGCTACATTTCAGGGCTACAAAGTATAGTCAGAAGGTGAAATCCAGAATACCCTTTTCCGTTTAAAATATGTCTAGAGAGGTGAGAGATGAGTTTGTATACAAAAAGCCCATTCCATTATATCTCCAGGTCTTGGGGTAGATTTTAGAGTAACACTATCTCATAGTGGTGTTTGGGTAACCTTATTTCTAAGGCTATCATAGTGACTCGAGAGGAAGTGCCTAGTCCTTTCCCCATTTCTCCTGTCTCTTTCTCTTAGGTATGGCCAGAATACTTAGGTATTGGTTTGGATTCTTCATTGAGACATAGCCCCAGCTGTACCCAGGCCATACTGTGGAATAGGGTGGTGCAAGAATGGTTTAAGTCTTCACTCAGCTTTACTTTTCGCATTAAAAAACAGAGGCTATTTGCTCTGAGTTTTCCACCAGCATGTCTAATGAGAGTACAAGTTCAGCATCCTAACTCAAAATATCTGAAATTCAGAATGCTCCAAAATCTGAAACTTTTTGAGTACTGACCTGCTGTTCAAAGAAAATGATCATTGGAGCATTTTGGAGTTTGAATTTTCAGATTTGGAATGCTCCACCAGGGTATAATCTAAATATCCTAAAACCTAAAAAAAAATTAAAATCTGAAACACTTCTAATCCCAAGCATTTGGGATAAGAGATAGTCAATCTATATTCCAAAATAGGGACCAGGAAATTTGGTTTCCTTGCCCTACTACTGAGTCTCCAGTCTTAACGATGACAACAGGACAACCAGGGGTGAAGATGCACCTTCAGGACCAGCACATGAGAAGGCCCAAAGGTGTGCCTTGCATGGTGTTGATTGTATAAGTAGTCTTTCTGTGTCACCCACAATCCCCATCCTGTTTAGACAGGATTTATGTTAGACTTACAATGTTAGTTTCTGAACTACTCATTTGTGGGGAGTTGTTGGGAGAAGTGTCTGAAAATTGTAGATCTCTCTATTTTTGTTATGAAATTCCTATGCCACCCAGTCTTCAATCAGAGGTTCACATCACAGTGCAGCTCTCTCTAATGCCACCTTTTTCGTAGGACTAGGCTAGGCAAGGCTGATTGCTTTTCTGCCTGATGAAAGTTGCTCATTTCACTCTCCTACCTAATCTAGAAGCTAAAATAGAAGCAAAGCGTATATCTTGCTTATTTTTAATGTGTGAAATGTGGTTGTCTGAATGTACCATGCATTTCAAGGTCTGTATATTTTCTTTCCCTGTTCTAGCCAGCAGATATTGCGGAGAAGATTCCTGAGAAGAAGCAGCGCCTAGAGGAGGCCAACACAATCTGCTTGCTCCCCCCTTGCATCTCACCAGTGCCACCCCAGAAGCCTCCCAGCGCTAGAGAGTGAGTTGGCCCTGGCTTTATATGGTCAGGTCCTACAGAAATCCCCACCAAATTCATTTGGGGGATTCCACCCCAGAGGAATCTAAGATAAAAAACAGAAGTTCCTGAGTACAGACCTGACAGCTGTCCCAGCCACAAGCCTGACAAGGGTGTGATGAAGGGTGGACTACAAACTGCCAAAGTTGGGGAGACTCACAAGGGGCCTCAAACTTTTTAAACAGGGGGCCAGTTCACTGTCCCTCAGACCGTTGAAGGGCCAGCCTGCAGGTGCCGGGATGAGTCGGCTGCTAAGCAGGACAGGCAACGGCGGCAAAAACACCCCATGGGCCGGATAAATGTCCTCAGTGAGCCACAGGTGGCCTGCAGGCCATAGTTTGAGGCCCCCTGCTCTATGAGCTTTTAGAAACATCTCTCTACTCCAACTAAGACTGATCACTGAAATCAACATATGTGAACTTTTAATGCTAAGGGAAGGATAAAAGGAAATAATAAACTAAAAAGAGTAAGGATCAAGAGAACCCCCCCCTTCACTTTAAGCAGATCACCTGCACTGGCCAGCATTCATTTCAAACAGTGATTAACCCATTTCCCTTGGAAAGCAACTGCTTGATCTTGACAAGATGGTGCAGATGCTTCCTCTTGGATGTCATCACTTAACATGAGTACAAAGCCTGGGACCCAGGAGCTACATCCTGAACTCCACTGAGGCCAGGGATATGACATGTTTGGCGAGGACAGGGAGTTGAACTGTCTGAGAGTCTCCCTCCCCAGGGAAAGTTCTGTGTCAGGGAAAGCCAGCTAGGGATGGAGACGTTGATTCCATTTGGCAGGTACCTCTTTGCCCTCCACTCTATGTGTGGAAGGGTGGGCAAGAGGCTTCCTTGTCCCCTTTTCTCTCAGACAGCATCAGCCTTCCCCAAAGAAGTCTTGCCCTCTGTTTCCACCAAGCACTGTGACCGAGTTCCTTCTGTCTCATAAATGTCACTTAACTAACAATCACGTCAGCTACTTGCACCATTCTGTGTGAGTAATTATTGCCATAAATTCATTCAACATTAGAGATTACTTCCATCAAAGCCCAGTTTGGGAGCCCATTAGCAGCCCAGAGCAGAGAGGCAATCTGGCTAACTGCTGCTAACAATCGATTTCACAGATTAGTGTTTAACATCAGTGATAAGGCATCAATCTGCCACAGATAAGATGTTGGAAATAAGTTATCGGCTTACATTTTCTGCATCTTTGTTGTTTAGAGATGAAAAGTCAGAAAAGACATAGTCCTACTAGATCTCTTCTATGTAACAAAGAGAATTGGGTTCTGGGCTGCCCCTCTCCTTGAGGATCAGTAGCTACTTAGGAGGCGCGTCTGTGTTCCCTGATAGAACTTTGCTCTGAAACATCCCTTCAGATATTTGGAGTTCTCAGAACTAGGGACCCTTCCGGTAGAGTAAGCTGATGTCCTTCACCTCAGATTGGAGCAGGCGTGTGAGGAAGCATGCTACCTTAGTGGGCCGATGTGGTCATTCTAGGACCCTCTTCTTTGCCAAGAAGGAAGGACTAAAGTGGCATAGCTCTAGTGGTAAAACCTCGTCAGTTCCTAGCCTTTGACCAGTTCAGACCACTCAAAAGCAAAAGGAAGAGGCAGGGGGCAATAGGATGTTACCACACCCATTAGTTCCTACTGCTAGTCTCCCTAAGTGACCAGGGGCCATATCACTTTCCTCATTTTATGGAAGAGAGATGACTGAGTATTAATTAATTAAAGGTTTATTCACTTAAGTAGGTTCTCATCAAATAGTATCCTTAAGCCACAGTCCTTATGATGTCTCTGCCTTTCTAGTACATGAAAAAGCAACTTGTCCTTGTAGCATTTATCATTCCAGAAAGACCTCAATCAGGTTCTTACACTCATCAAACAGATTCAAGTCTCCAGGAAAAAAAAATCTCTAGAGTAGAAGACTGGCCTCTTAGGGGTCTTTTCCTGGGAACCCTCTACTCAAGCTCTGTCTGCTCCTTTATGCCTTATTGACCCTTCAAACCATATCCTTGGAGATTTCTATGAGACAACACTCATTTTTCTAAATGAATATTCTAAACCTAGAATTTTGATATTCTAAACCCAATAATGATGCCACAGCAGACTGTGACAGGTAGAGTTCCCCATCCTCCAGGCAAATGACCCTTCTGTAGAGCTTGAACCATCAGCAGGGCCTCTGAGAGATGGAATGGGGATGGTGATGCTCTTCCACTGCCTCCTATTTTCCTCTGGTCCATTGAAAGAGGTACCCAGAGAAGCAAAAATTCTTGTAGTTGGAAACCATCTTGTAGTGGTCTCTAGAAGATGCTCCCTGGGTATATTTCACCAAGGAAGTCATTAAAGGCCCCATGGTTCCAGGTTGCTACCAGTCTTAGGTGGTCAGCTCAGTGGCAGATGGGAAGACTCTAAGACTCTAGTAGCCCATGACAAATCAGATGCCTTTTGGAAGCAGATGTTCCCCTTGTGGGCCCTACTCACTTCTCATCCAGATCAGGCGGAAGGGGAATGGTTACAACTAACAAACCATCCACCTCCTATAGATGCTACATCAATGTTTGATGTCAGTATATATATACATATATATGTGTGTGTGTGTGTGTGTGTGTGTGTGTAAGTTCATTTTTGTTGATTTCAGTGATCAGTCTGAGTTGGAGTAGAGAAATGTTTCTAAAAGCTCATATACATATAAACTCTGAAACGTCCTGTACCTCTCTAATTACTAGATTTAATGTGTTCTCATGTTTCTGGAACTTCCTCATGGACAAGAATCTGACTTTGTATGTTCATCATCATTTTATTCAGGGATCATAACTGTTTTAAAATGGTAATGGTTATCATAGAAATTTTTTTAAATCCATTGACAAGGATTTTAAAATTAATGTTAATCAATTAATGACAAAAATAGTTAAGATTTTTTAAAAATTTCACTACATGAAAAAAATTGGCATGGGCCACATTTATGAAACAAAAGATGGGAAAGATGCCCCATACTATTACAATTGGCAGATTTGGACGACACAGTGGAAGTGGGACTAGGAGACTGCATTGACTTCTACCATTTCGAGAAATCAGACCACTAGAATGCTTGTTCCTCTGTGATTTGTTGCTTTGAGATATTGTAAATCTATATTTCTAGACACTGACTGAAATTGACCCAGAGGAAAACATAAATTCTTGTTGACTTAATTTGTTATTGAAAATTGTACTCAATAATCATGAAAAGTAAATGGCTGTACACTGCAATATTAGTTGTCTAAGAAAAGATTAAAATTCAAGTAATCTTCATTGATTAGTCTAAGACAGTAACTAAAATGAAAATCCATGACCCAATTACCACGTTAAGCAGCTAGAATAAGGTTTTAGTTGTTCTGTTTTATTTGAAAGTCTCAGTCTATTTGATGGTGTCCATTTAATGGGCAGATAAATCAGTTTGAGAGCACAGGAGTACTTTTAGGATTGCAGATGCCTTGTGTCAATATCACCAAAAAAATGTTTTAAAGGGAGTTTTGTAAAGTATATTAGTACTTCAGCATAACAGTTCAAGGTCAGGGTTCATTTTGCCTTAGCATTGGGGTAGAACATTTTTTACATACAATTTGCAATGAGTCACAACAGTATTTAGTGCATTTTTTATTTCTAAGTAATGTATAAGCATCATATTTCTTAAGAAAATATTATTCCACTGATTATTTATTGTACCATTTATTATGTGATTGTGCAGTTAAAGTCCTAGGGCAAAATAGGTAGGAATCATCCTGGAAAATGATGGGATTAAAGTCTGTGTTGTATTTTCCATTAAAATCTAATTAACAGTAATATTGAAAGGTTGCAAATATCACAGTGTAGCATACTCCATTAGGCATTTAGATTTGTCATGGAGTTATGCTTCAAAGATATGTATGTGTTTATTCTTGGATACATATGTATGCATCTATCTATACATAGGATATATGAGAGATACCCATTAAAATATCTATATCAATCTCTATATGCATTCATACTCACTCTTCACCATAAGCAATGGGTCACCAATTAAAATGACTTTAGCTGAATGTGCCAGCATAATGAGGGAAATAAGAATAGAGATAACACTTTATGACAGCCTACACTTTTTATTTCCACAGAAATAATTCATCCAGGAGAACCAATAGACGAAAGGATGAAAAGCTATTTCCTCCTCCACTTTCCCCACTGCCAGAGGACCCTCCACGCCGTAGAAATGTCAGTGGCAATACTGGTCATTACAATCAAGACAGAAACACCTCCACAACTGGACATAGCACCTCTGGCAAACCTAAACGAAATGAAGGCAAATTCTGTTCTACTTTCAAAGGGATATCCACAAACGTAAGCACCTTAGAGGAAATATAATCATTAAGGTAGAAGCAAGTTAACGCAGCTCATCAAACTTCACCAGGGGTGAAGACAGGAACTGGCAGAGATGACATATAGGCGGGGTGTGTGTGTATGTGTGTGTGTACAAATACACAAGGTCTTCATTATTTCAAATCTCAGTTATTCCAATGTAGGATGAATGTTTCATTCCAGATTAATTTTCCGTCTTGCTTCCCCAAACAGATTTCACATGCAGAGATTCAGGGCCTTGGGCATTTCTTGGTCAAATCTCTTCATATCTTGGGGGTGGGATGGACACTTCCATAACACTGACCACAACGTCCAGCACACAGTAGACACCAATCACTTAGTGAGGAAAGAACGAATGGATGAAATGGGATTGTCCAAGGTTGCTAAACTGGAGCTGGAACTTCAAGTCACATCTTCCCACCACCGAGCTTTGCAAATGTGAATTACTTGAAAAATAGTGACTAAGTAGTATGAAATGTAAAAGGTGAATCTGTTGCTAAAACTGTACAATAATGGTTCAATGCTCAACTAGAGCATTATGCAGTCCTTTGGATTTTCTGCACTGCTGCTTGGTTAGCATAGATAATTGGAAATTTGCATCACTTTTCATTTGTCTCAGGTATAGGTACATACACTGTAGAAAGTATCAGCAATGGTGCTGCTAATGAATATTAATGACAAATGTGTCTGCCTTTTCATGTATATGCAGATGATATAATATCCATATGTATCTCCTTTAAATATAATATAAAAAGCAAATGAGGGAAAGTTTTCACATGTCTCATTGTCAACTTGGTAGGTCTTGAGCCAAAAGGGCCCATTCAATACTCCATGAAAAGCCACGAGTCCTCTGACTTTGAAAGACTTCAATTAATAATCTCCCATTCTTAGAGATAATAGAGATGATATACATAGGTGAATTTTATTGCTGATATAAAAATTTCACTAATCTGAAGTTCTCATTTTTATATGAAATTCATGTGTGTATGTACATACAATATTTGCATATACATTTAAAGATGCTGACTCTATAATGTTGGGAATTAAACCAACTATTCAAACAGTAATTACACTATCCATCCTATTTTTCATACTGAATGTAATTAGTATTATAAACTCCAACTGATGCTCACTTCTACTGCAAGCTGTTGGAGGGCATGCACCCTATCTAGGGAATTGTTTTTATATAGTGCCTAGTATGTTGTCACAAATAATTAAGTGTTATAAATAATACAGATGTTATTGTGACAATGCTAATGCTTATAAGAATCTACAAAGTCATTTCCACAAGGGGTACAAACTACTGGGGAAACATGGTAAATATAATAACATTTGCTCCTAGAAATGCATCATCCTTTTCATGGCGATCACTGGGGTTTCCTCAGATAGGAGAGAGCAAAATGGTGCCTCTTCTTGGGCCATTCCCTCTTTCTGTTATTGGTTTGAAGTTTGGAAGATTTTGTGGAAGAATTTTTGCCTTATCCTGAAAGTTATGAGATTTTACCCTTAAATTGTATGGTACTAGCACGGCAACAAATATGCTCCATGACCCTGAACAAATCACGAAATATCTCTGAGATCGTAAAATGAGTGGATTGGACTGGGTGACCTATTAATGTAAGTCTCCTTCCAGCTCCAAAAGCGTTTGCAATTTTGTGCTCTCAGAGTCTTCTCAATTTCACTCAGGCATGAAGTCCTGTTTACTACGGACACGATGGGTGGATGTGTATGGGCAGACAGCATGTTTATAAAAGTTACATGATCATGGCTGAATTCAGCCATTTCCAGTCATATGTGCCAGGACTGACATCAATACTGTGTGTGGTGACATAATGTTACAGGGTTCTTGCCACATATCTTGGCCATAGAGACAAGTGGCACTGTCTTGGGCTGACCCCACTGTTTGGCTCATCTGGTTCTGGCAGTGAAAATGTGGAGCTGACTTAGGAGTTTTTTACAGCTGTCATTCTTTTACGTATTTGGACTGAATAAAATTCACGATGATCTTTACTTTTTCCACATCTATCATAACAATTTGTAGATGTGTAGCTTCTCAGCTCTTTTATCTCAGTGAACTCCAGCTAATAAGAATTATTTGATGATCAGAAGGTCCAGGACCAAGTGGAAAAGATCCATATGGATGTATGAAGTATATCACATTTGAAAGTGACCCTTTTGGCTCAGACAGGCCTGCACACATACATGCATGCACACATTCAGCAAACACTCTCCCTCCACCCCACCAGTGCTCTCAGTCCAAGGTGAGCAATGAGACATATGCTCCAAAGACTAGAAGATAAAATAGCTGGTGACTGTTGTCTTAGGGCAGGGATAGAGGCAGGCCTCTGAGTGGTGTGAGGGGGATAAAGCCCTTCTGCTGTAGATACCAGGCAGTTCTCCCTGTGGAGGAGGCATGTGTTGAACTGAGCCTTAATAAGTGAGTAGGGTTTAAAAACAAAAGGAAGTGGACAAACACAATGTGTTTAAGGTGGTATCCTTTATGATACATGTATTTTATAGCAATTTTAAAACTTTGAAAATGAAGTAGAAATAATAAATGAAATAATTTATCACAAGGTGAAGGAAGGAAGGAAGGAAAGAAGGAAGAAGAAAAGAAAAAAAAGAATGAAAGGCATTTTGAAGTCTAAAACTCCACATTAACTGGGTTAGGAAACTGAAGAAAGTGGGGACATATTCAGATGGCTTGGAGCCAAGGTTCATGGAGGAGAACAGTCGGCAGAGGTTGGGAAGAGGGTTTAAGCCAGATCAGTGAGGGCCTTGAATGCCAGCAAAGGAGCTACAGCCTGAGGTTTGCATCTGGGTACAGGGCAGTGAAGTGGCTGGAGCTTTGTTTGGAAAGTTCCAGCTGGCAGGTAGCAGACTGAGTGGAAGGAGAAGCTAGCTCAAAGGCTGGTTGTCTGGCCAGGAGATTATTTGTTAGTCTCAGCGAGAAGCCCTGAGGCTTTAAGAGTGGAAAGGACAGATTTGAGAGATATTGGGGAAATACAATGATTGGGCTTTGTAATCAATTGGATTGGGTAATGCAGACAAATGAAGAAATAGAGCAGTGATTTTCATCTGCCATTAGCACAAAGAGGGAACTGTTTTGGTTATTGGTTTGGTTTGAGAGAAATCAGAGACGCTAATAGACATCTTTCTAGAATTGTTCAGAAGTAGTAAGTGCAAGTCTCAAACATCAGGGAGACAGTAAGATCGAGGTCTCCATTTGGGAGTTATCTGCTCATTGTTGAACCTGTGCGAACACATACAAGATTGACAAATCTGATCAAAAAAAAGAAGGGAGATGAGGCGTGAACTGTGGGGCCTACCAACCACAGAGACATACTAACTTCAAAGATCAGAAGGAGGAGAAGGCCTCCTGGGAAGCAGGTCGGAGGAAGACCAGTCAGGAGGGTCCCATGGTTGCCAGGTGAGGTGGGTAGAGTTGGCCATGTAAATAGGGCAGATGGTCCTGTGACACCACAGTGTCACATAATTACAAACCTTACCCTCACCTTTCTTTTTCTTCTCTAAAGCAATGATAGTTCAAAGTGGAGTCGTCAGAAGTCTCTTAGTTGATCTTGGACCTGATTGAAAGGGAGCTTCACCATTCCAAGATTTCAAACTAAGGAGGCACACTCACATAGCAGTCACTTAGCTGAAACCAGTCAAGCGTCTCACATGAGCAAAAGGACTGCTTCAGTTTGGGTTCAAGTAGAACCCATTTTTCTGATATTTTGGTGAACTGTAACTAATATTTTGTGGCACAATCTGAAGACTTTACTTACCCTAAAGAAAGCTTTGGGACTGGCTCCCTTAATAAAAATATTGACATCTGGGCCAAGGACTCTATTCAATCCCGTTCTCTTGCTCTTTCTCTCTCTCCCCTCCCCACTTCTTTCTATTTACTCCCTTTCCCCCTTTCTCCCTCCCTCCTCCTCGCTCCTCTTCTCTGTATTTTTCCTTCCCCTCCCCTCTCACATTTCCTACTGGATTTAGACCATTTGGCTCTCTTGATGGGATGGTGGGGCCATGTAATCATAGCACCTGATTAGTTCGGTGTTTGGTGTCATCATAGAACAAAAGCTGTTGATTCAATGTTCCTGAAATATACTTATGTCACATATTTATTCTCAAACCATGCACATTGTTTTCTTTTTTCTTGCCTTCTTTCCTGGTGTGGTTAGCATTTAAAGCATTTATGAGGAGGTACTTTAAAAAATGTGGGCCTAATGAAAGCTATTTGTCCTCCTTTTTCCCAGGAGGGAGACACTCAAAAAAAGCCAGCCACCACTGTTTCTATTACCAGCACTGCTATTGCAACTGTCACTGCTACTGCTATTGTCACAGCTACAGTGACAGCTACCGCAACAGCTACAGCAACGGTCACCACTACAACTACTACCACTACTATTTCTACCATCACCTCTACCATCCCTACTGGCCTCATGGATAGCAATCACCTAGAGATGACATCCTGGGCATCCCTGCCCCTTCTGTCCAGTAGCAGCACTAACGTCCGGAGACCCAAGCTCACTTTTGATGATTCGTATGTTGTCCCCAGATTATCATGGGCACAGTTTGGGAGGAGGGCATGGTACATGGGGGTGGGTATGGTATGGCTTTTCTAGTGCCATGCATTTGTTACCCCAAATAAGACCCTGGCAATAGCTCCTACAGTATTAAAAGTATCCTCTGACTCCTACACTCTCACCTCTGTCCCCATGAAGAAATGCTTTTGGCTTATTTTAATTGTGGAGATGCTGTTATTGTTTCCAAAGGCTGATGCTTACTTCTGGGTTGTTTTGTCCTTTCTTATCCACATCTTCACATATGAGTGTATGCTAGGTGTAGCTAGGTTTCATTTGATTTGTTTGGACAACTATAATGGCTGGGGTTGAAGGACGTGGTTATTTACCCTAATGGGCCATTATGCACTTGAGATTTCATTTACAGTATTATTTCATGGTTGGTTATGATATGAATAACAGCATTAGCCTACCTTTTACAAGGCACTCTATAGGAAAAGATTTGTAGCAAAAAATTTTTTTTCACTATTCAATGTTTTAATGAAAAGATGAAGCGCTGATTTCTGAAAGAGCTCATTTTGTTTGTTTAGGGTTCACAACGCTGATTATTACATGCAAGAAGCTAAGAGGCTGAAGCACAAGGCTGATGCACTGGTAAGTTTCTGTCCTCTCTTTGCTTGGCTGCCATTAAGATAATATTCCTTGAAAGGAAACAAAGAAGGTACTTTACAGAGAGTCAAACTGCCGGTAGCACAGCCCAAACCTGCTTGCTAGTGCACAGCATAATTGCCAAAGTTCTGTGAGCCGTATTGTCCTATCACTTTTTCTTTTCCCACTGTTACTCCCCTTGTCCCAACTATAGAAGCTCAGTGGCATATACCACTGTCATTATTTTTAAAGGGAATTGGAAATGACTGTAGAAACTACCTTGGAGATGATGCAAGCTCCCATTGGGTCTAGTAAACCAGAAGTGGTGTGAGAAGAGGGATCATTATTGAGAGCTAGCTATGTGAGTTCAAAATTTGGCTTTGGGGAACTTGAGGCTATAGAAGAAAATCAGCTCCTTGCTGCATTTGGTGACCTATTTCCAAAGCAAACCCTGCAGTCAGGTTGGGACCTTGAATGGAGAAAGGAAATGCTAGAAGGAAATCATCTGGATTTCCCAAAATACCTTGTCTAGCTGCCTCCAAGAGTTTTGCCCACCTACGCCAGTGATAAAAGTCAACATTTATACATTTATGAAATGTTGAGTTGGTTGATCAAGTTGATCCTCCTAACGGTGGGGCTCAACCATGCATCAGTTGGGAAGCTTTAAAATAACCCTGATGTCCAGGCCACACCCTAGATGAATGAAATCAGAATTTCTGGGACAGGGACCCAGGCTCCCTAGTCTTAAAACTCCCCAGTCAATTTCCATATGAAGCCATTTGAGAACCACTGTCCTAGAGAAGGCCGCAAATTCAGGCTTCTCGCCTTTCACCAAACTCCCGAATAATTAGAGGTATCAGTTTAACCTCACTGGGTTAACAAATAGCATCCTACATCATGTCATTGTGTCCAGTTAGGACTAGCTGTCCTGTTGTGTTTGACATTGGGAAAGCTGACCTCTGCTGCTTCCTGACTGCCTGTTATTTCCTCCTGTGGTCCAAATTGCTCACCTATTGCCTACAGCTGAACTTCCTGTGGTGTGAATTTTCCCTTGGAAACAATTCTCCCCTACCCCTGCAGACAAAAATGGGAAGGCAGGCTGGATGCCAGCTCCACTAGAGATGCCAGGAAGATTGTGCCTATGATCACTGCATGGGTGGCAGGAGATTTGAAAGGCATTGGGAAACAATTCTGGCTCAGAGGCCAAAAGTTTTCTCTTCATGTTCTCAACTACATGGCACTGCAGAATTTCTCTGGAGTTTCCTCTCTGTCAAAACTGGGGATAAGGAGCACATAGATATTCCTTTGAAAAACTGTTGCATGAGCTGATGAAGACTGGGATGCATGTAGGAGACCATGTAGAGGAAATGTTTGAAGAACTGAGAAAAAATCAGAGCCACAGATCAGATACATGTATATGATTAGGAATTAACATCACCCTTACCATCCAGGGATGTGTCTATGTCTCATCTCAAGTCATTTTGGTCTAATACATTTAGAGAATATATTATCATTTGGGAGGGGACAATTATTTCGGAGAATGGGGTGAAAAAGTCTTGGATATTGTCATGGGATATGACCCTTCAAAGGGCTACAGTGCACAGAGTGATAGTAAGTATAATTTTGGTATTGAAATTTCATTGACGGTGTGTGAAAACTTATAGTTGCCCCTAAGCATTCATGAAAGATTGGTTCTAGGACATCCTTTGGATACCAAATTCCATGTATGCTCAAGTCTCTGATTTGAAATGGCCTAATATGTTCATATAACCTATGCTTTAAATCATCTTGAGACTATTTATAATACCTAATATAATACAAGCCATTTGAGAACCACTGTCTATAAATAGTTGTTATACTATATTGTCCAGGAAATTATGACCAAAAAAGTGTTCAGTACACAGCCACTGTTTTCTTTTCTGAATATTTTTGATCTGCATCCACGGTTAGTTAGTTGAATGAATGGATACAAAACTCAACAGACATGGAGAGCTGAACATGTCTACAAAAGCTCCTTGGGGCCGTGATAACAATAAAATGTTGACAAACACTCACAGGAATTATTTGTTCACCAGACTGATGTCTATACTAGCTCAAGGAATACCCTTGTAGTTAAAGCTCCTCATTTAATGGATGGGGAAACAAGTAAGGACAGTAACTTCACAAGTAATTGGCACCATGGCCATGTCATTTTCTCTCTAAGCTTCAGTTTCTCCTTCTTTTACAGAAGGAAGGACTTGGACTAGGTGCTTTTTAAGGATCTTTCTAACTATGGAGTTGTGAATGAAAAGTCACTTTCAAAAATCAGGGCATTAAGATTAATTTCAAAATGTGAGAGGCAGTGAGAGCCAGATAACCTCAGGAAATTACCTTGTAAGGCAAGAGAGAAAGGAGACAGATTACACACATTTACATAGGTTTTCAGAAAATCAGACTGAATTTGGTTGGAAGCTTTATTTCCAGTAGCATACAGAAAAGGGAACCACAGAATTCCTGCAACACATAAAAGCTGAACAACATTTATTGTAAAGAAAGTCATCTACAATAAGATTCTAAAGGACCTGTAACTAATCATTTTATCGTTGTACTTAATCCTTTTTCAGAGACAGATACTCTGCCATTTTGAGAATTGAAACCTTCACAGTTACACTGAAAACATTTTGATAAAATGTATACAAGAAAATTAAAATAGCTAAATCTGCATTATATTGGTTCTTTTACATAAAAATACTGTATTAGTGTAATTTTCACATCCTGCTATCAAAAATTGAAAATGTTAAATCCTGTTATAAAATACTCACAATAAAAGTGTCATATATAATATTCATTACACATAAAAAAGAAATCAGTATGTCTAAGTCAGTTTAATCATGACCATTATCAGGGCTAATACCTTTTGCAATAAAATTTTACTAAACTAAAATATTTAGTAGTGCTATATTTTTGGCTTTTTGACACACTATTTCAAACTATCTTTTACAATGAAAGTGGTGTGATTATTGTCAATAGTGACACTACAGCTTCAGATTTTTCTTGACGATAGCCATCAATTTGTTACTCTCCTCCTGAGGGTGGGGTTGATGTGCTTGCAAAGAGTTCTACAGCAAAGAATATGTGTTTGTTGTCCATGTGACTTATGAAAAGCAGAACTTATTAATGGAGGCATTGATTTGGATTCTGGTCCACCAAAAAGATAATGATAACAGTACTAACAATATCACCAACCCCACATAATGCCATGGTCACGTAACCAGTTCATACTTTGTCCTCTCTATACATAAGGGTTTCTCAGCCTGAGCACTATTGGCGTCTAGGGCTGGCTCATCACTGTCCATTATGGTGACTGCTGTCCTGGGCATGGTAGGAAGTTTGGCAGCACCTCCGAGAAACACCAGACTCCCCCTCTCTCCACTGGTTGCAACTGAGAGTATCTCCAGACATGGACAGATGTTCTCTGTGGAAGGCGAAGAAACCTCCCCTAGTTGCAATCTGCTCTTTCCTATGAAGGAGAAAAGAGGGAGAATTGTGCTGATCAGTCATCTTCCTGTTTCAGTTCGAGAAATTTGGCAAAGCTGTGAATTATGCTGATGCTGCCCTGTCCTTCACCGAATGTGGCAATGCCATGGAACGTGACCCTCTGGAAGCAAAGTCCCCATATACCATGTATTCTGAGACCGTGGAGCTCCTCAGGTGAATGGCCTTTCTGTAGTCATCTTCCTCAGCTCATTTCAGCTAGAATTAGAAGCTACATTTTTTTAAACATCATTTCCACATATTAATAATTTGTCCAAGGCATCTTCTTCTTAGAAGTCATCATAATTAGTTCTTACCATTTTATTAATGTCAGGGAAAATTTATAATTGATGGACACTGCTTTCATAAATTATCCCCTTAAGAGGTTATATTGTGAGTGTTATAATTTGCAATATTCATAGCATTAAAATGGAAACATAGTGGGTAGAAGAAAAGTATAATCATTTCACCATTTAGCATCACCTTGTCTTTTCAAAGGTGCAGTTTTATAATTTGAAATGTGGTGCTCTCAGGCTCTCAAGATTTCTATTACAAACTATGTTTTCTAATAATTTTTATCTTCGTTATTAAAAAGGGAGGGGCACTCCTACAACCCAGAGTTGGTGTTTAAGGCTGCAGGTGCCGGTAGACTTGCCATGCGTCTGGAATAAGGGAAAGGGAGAAGGTGGTAGTGGGGTGGGACAGAAGATGAGAGGATGGGAACAGGAGAGGATATATTAACTGCTTATGTTATTGCTTTCATTTACATTTCAAATGATATTTTCTGGCCTGCTGGTCTTGGTGGTGTAGAATTTGTGAGTTATCAATAATTTCCTAGAAGATGAGAAAGAAGGGCTAAGAGAAGAAGATATATCCATTCTGGTGTTTTCCAGGGCTTTGCGCATATTTGTAAAATAATTTAATCCACCCCTGAGTGGTAGATGGGCACCATTGTTCGCTGAATGGACTAAATAACCACTTTTGATGGAGTAAACAGTTTTTATCTGATATGCTCATATGTTCCAGTTTCCTCTGGCTCTATCTATTAGTAATACCAGGACCTGTTTCTACTATCTTATTTGTATCTGCATAAACTGTGACAAATCTGAGGATATCTAGACCTAAATTTTCAGACAGATATTGGATTGATTTAACATACATATTTTCCCAGTGAAGCCTTCCAAGAAGAGAACTTTAAAAACAAACAAACAAACAAAAAGAACTCTGCTCACGTAAAATCAGAAGTTTAGTCACAGCCACAAAACTAAAGTAATAATGAGAGCAGCTCCAGCCTTACCCGTCAAGCTAGTCAGCCATCTTTCTCTTTTCACTGCTGTGAGATGAGGCATCAGAAAAGAGTATAAAGTATTTCTCTTTAACTTACTTACAGCATAGGAGCCATCACCATCATTCTGCACTTTTCATGGGGAAATTGATTGCTTGGTGTCTAATCAAGGCTACCTGTGATTTTCAAAGATGCACGAGATGAATATTCTGTCAAAAATTATTAGGATTCAACATTAAGGGAAAACATTAGTGAACAAATATGGAGATAATTCATGCTTTATATCCATTCAAAAGTGGACATTCAAACAAGGCACTTTTTTTTTTTGTTAAATCATAGCTGTCTACATTAATACTGTCATGGGGTACAGTGTGCTGTTTTTATATACAATTTGAAATATTTTCATCAAACTGGTTAACATAGCCTTCATGTCCTTTTCTTAGTTATTGTGTTAAGACATTTATATTCTACATTTAGAAAGATTCACATGTACCCTTATAAGATGAACCATAGGTGTGATCCCACCAATCACCCTCCCTTCACCCATCCTCACCTCTCCCCTACCCTCCCTCTCCCCTTTCCCCTTATTCTTCTTAGCAAAGTATCTCAAGAATGGAAGAAAAAGTATCCAATGTACTCAGCCCTACTATGACACTAATTTATAGCTTTCATAGGAAAGCTATGACCCAATTAAACAAGGCACTTTTAAAATTAACAATAAGATATAATAATGTTAAAACCTAGCATTAACAACTAAAACAACAACAACAACAAACATACCCTGGTAGTGAACTAGGCCTCTCCTATGCTACTGATGGGAATAGCAATTGATCAGTGTACACTGAGGGCAATTTGGCACTCTGTAGCAAAAGCCATACAATGAGCATTCATACCTTTTGATCCAGTACCTCAGCTTCCAGAAATTTGAATTTCCTCTATGGAAGAAAATAATTGAAATATTAGAACAAGCTATCAGTATAATGTTTGCTTTGACATTATATGTAATGGCACACAACGAGAAGAAAACCAAATAATCAATAATAGAAAAATAATTAAGTACACTCAACAGAATACTTTGCAGCCATTGACATACAACAATGAAGATGACTGTGTAACCATACATAAATGTTTATAATACGAATTACATGCATACCACAATTATGACCATGAAAATCATGTATATTCATCTGAGCCAAACTGGAAGGGAAATGAGATCATAGTTCTAATATGTGGTGAGATGATGGGTGTTTTCCTTCTCTATATATTTTTCTTTCTTATTAATTTTGTTTTAGGAAAATATATGCTGTCTTAAAAATATAAAAGCATAATACTAAATTCATTATGGTAAAAGTGTGATGTGGATAATTAAATAACATTTATTTCCATTAAAAACATTTTGCCATTGTTTACAAAATTATGCTCTTTAGGGAAAACACATGATTTATTTTCATTATATGGTATTTTATTCCTCATAGAAGTATACTTCTATACTGAAAGTCAGTAAAGAAAGTACAGAAATTCACTTTAAAGTCAGTATTTTTTAACTTTATTTTGAGGTAATTGTGGATTCACACACACTTGTAAGAATGAATACAGAGAGTTCTCATGTACCCTTCATCCAGTTTCCCCATGGGAATATCTTGCATGATATCATAGCCAGTATGTTGATATTGATACATTCCATGTACTTGATTCAGATTTTACCAGTTTAGTTTTGCTTTTTTCCAGATTTCACCATTTTTACATCACTCCTTTGTGTGTCTCCTCTATATTTTTAATTTGTTACATTTTCAGTCAATTGCATGGTGTATAATTTTTTTAATGAAAGAAATTTCAGTTGGGAACAAAATAAGTTAAAGTAACTAGATTTTCTGGTCCACTTAAGCAATTGAAACTCCACTATCAAGTCACTTCAAATGTGGTTGAATTAGAGGGTAACTGTAATATGAACACAGTTTATAGTAGTTCAATATGAAGAGATTTTTATTACTCTCTTTCTGACAGTATACTGGCTACAGAAAGCCTCATTTTTTTCATTCAAGTAATTATACTTGCTCTGAGCCCTGGGAATCTGTAATAGAAATGTATTTGTGAAAACAAGTGGGGCATCACAGTGACTTGACATTTCAGTGGTCCAGCTGTCAAAGGTGGTTAGACTTCTTACATAATAAAAGTCCCTTTACTTAACATTGCAACAGAAGAAGGGCCCCACATCAAGTGCGCACGTCCCTTTGCTGGAAAATGTTCACTCAACAGAACTGGAGCAACAACTGGGAGGGCAAGGTAGCTAGCATACTTAGGAGGCAGGCTGAGTCTTGAGGGGCAATCTTGGGGTCCCCCATTCCCTGAGGGAGGCTGCTGAAAGTGAGGGGTCGTGCATGAAAGCACAGCGGCCCTGTACAGTCTCCACTGCGTTCTCATTAATGAGAACTTTCAACTTCCTTCTGCCACACTGCACTCCATTACTTATTCTACCACAAGTACCTGTGAAATTGCATTAAAGCCCAGACAATGATTTTATGCAATGAATTGATTTTCAAGAGTCTAAACGCCCAGAATGGAATGTGCGTGGCTAGAAATAAAAAATGGGAACTACTCAACCTTTTATCACCCCACCGTGGAACACTAACAATTAAAGAGAATGGAAAGACAAAATATACAAGCACCATAAATTAAGGGCTCTTAGACCTTAAAATGCTGTGAAATCGACCTTCCTTTAAAAAAAAAAAATACCAAACCACTTTCTATGGGAATATATTCAGAAGCTGAGCCATTAGAAAAGACGTTTGAACAGTGTGATTGAGGTCCACTCATGCTCATGTCAAACATAGTTGTATATTATTTACCTTATGTGTCATAAACTGAACTGTGGCCGACATTTTTGTCCACCTCTTATTGAAAACCAATAATGTTGTTTAGCTAGAATGTTCCCAGAAACAGTATTTTGCCAGCATTTAGACACACATGTAAACTAACAGTAATTCTACAGCAGTGTCCTACAATGTGGCCTTATAATTGAGCTGCTTTCTCTGGAGTTCAACTCCCGTGTGTCACATCAGTCCTTTTATGCCATTTTGGTCCCCATTTTGTGTGTTTTGAGAAGAAAGCAGGCTTCTGCCCATACATGCCAGTCAGTCCTCTCACCCAGAGCAAATGTGGGGCAAACTCAGTCAGACAATCAGAATACCAGTGACTTAGGGAATTTCTGAAGGGTAATAGACATTCCCCTTGAGCTTTTCCTTTTTCTTCAAAGGTATGCAATGAGGCTGAAGAACTTCGCAAGCCCCTTGGCTTCAGATGGAGACAAAAAGCTGGCAGTTTTATGGTGAGTCCCATGGAGGCTACAAGAAAACCACTGAAATGTCACAGAAGGATTTGAAAACTCCAGATCAACTTAAGCTGCTTACCCCAGATCATTACTCTTGTTTCCCATTAAACTATTAAAGGGTAACTAATGGATTTTTTTAGTCGCTCACTAAACATTTACTCCTCCTAATTTATACCCTTATCAAAATGGGATTTTAATGCTTCCCCCTTCCCTTTTAAAATTTTTCTGTATTTACTTACGTTTCTCGGTCTAAGCATCAGGGAGTAACTGCAGACGATGAATCAGCATTCCTCTTACTGTCGATAGGTTGGATTAACAGAAGCCTGTCTTCCCCACCACAGCTACCGATGCTTATCGCTCCTCTACTTGAGGATGTTTAAACTGAAGAAGGACCACGCTATGAAGTACTCAAGATCACTGATGGAGTATTTTAAGGTAATGCCTTTTTTGGATCATTGATTGGTATGAGGTGATAAAATCACTAATAATGGTTGGCATGTTTATATTAAACATCAAATGACAAAAACAAGGTTGTTTGTTGCTGCCAAGAGCTTAACCTCTCTCATCCCAGCTAGTCATGGCCTTCTCACACCTGATTTGACTTCTGGGAGAGAAGGCACAATAGTACCACCCCCTGACTATTTTCCTGACTGACCAAATGGCCCTTGCCAGCCCCCTGGTCATAGTTAGAGAGACATTGTCTGCTGCCCTTCCCTGCAGAATGGACACAGCTTGTGGCTCTGGGACACTTCCAGTCTCTTGTTAAATGAGAAGTCAGACCAGGAATCTCTCAGAAGTGAAGGAAGTCACTGTGTCCACCCTGGGTCTGGGTGGACATCCACACCCCTGAGAGGTGTAGTTGGCCATGGGAAGTCTGGGAGTTTGGTGGCTGCAATTTAAGACAATTGGCTGCCTTGGTTACCAAAACAAATATATAAAGCCATCAATAGACAGCTAGCATTTTTAACTTGCAAGCAAAAAAGAAAAAAGATAGGCAACCACAAAATGTAATGCCAAAATTTGGGAATGAGCCCAGATAAAAATTATAAGCAGCAGCCTAGTGACCATGCTAGGCCTGATCACTGTCTCCTCCAACACTGACCCATGATTTAGAGTTGGAAGCCTCAATGCTCCTTCTATTGGTGAGATCTCATAAAAAAGAACTCTCTCTCTCTCTCTCTCTCTATATATATATATATATACACATACACATTTACATATATACATATACACACATATATACCTATGTATAAATAGGTATATAAAGTATACATGTGTGTGTATATATAATGTGTATATATATATATATATGTGTGTGTGTATGTGTGTGTGTGTGTATTTTTATTCTTTTGCCAAGTGCATGAGTCTTTTTGGCTTCATTACACTAAAGCAGTTGTTTGAAATGAATCGAATCACGACCTTATATCACACACACAGTGAGTGCTGCTGCACAGCTCTATGTTTATGAGAACCCTGTGAATTGATTGGGAAAAAGCAAGTTCCCCAGCTATTATATGGTGGGGCCATAAATCCATAAAGCTGGTGCTCATGTGGATGAACGGGGAAAACATACAACATCTCACCGTCCCTTCATATATCCCTTCATCCCTGTCAACCTGTGGTCTGAAATGGTGGTTCTTGGATTTAAGCAGCCGTCAGAATCCTAGACCCCACCCCCTAAGTGTCTAATTCTATAGGTCTGGGGCAGGGTGCAATAATTTGCATTTCTACCAAGTTCCCAGGAGATACTGGTCATGTAATGATACTTTGAGATTCATGGCTGTAGTATCTGTCCTTTTTGACCTGTCCTTTGTACCGTTTAGGGCATTGCAAAATTCCAAGAAAATGCTAAATAACTCATTCCTGTAGAAAGACGTGTAAGGCATATTTGCAGAATATGCCTTAGGTGAGGGTTTCTGCAGCTGCAGCGAGACGTTGCATTCCTACCGGACATCTGAAAATGCTGACACTCGCCCTAACACCCTTTCTGTAAAAGGGGCTGAGCTGGAAGCCCTGAGGTAGAGGAAGGGCATCACCTGCACTGTGACTGACAAGAGCGGGTCTGAGGCAGGCTCACAGCCACAGGGGGCGTGTCATGACCATCTGTGCTGCTTGAGCTTCAACCTGGTAAGGCCATTAGAATGAGCCTACTTCTTGTCCTGTCGTGGGAATGCTAAATGTCAGATTTCCCTCTCATTCACAAGTGTGTGGCTGTGAAAATACAAGGAGGCCCATTCTTTAAACCAGTCCAGTTCTATCAGAGGAATAAAAGCCTGTTTAGCATTCCATGCAATGCAACTCTGAACCAGTAGCTTTGTCAAACATGGAAAACCTTTAGCCAGGAGGATTTGCATGTAAAGACAGCAGCTCAAGGTGATTCCTTAAAACAAACAAGCAAATGGAAAAATGCTGCTTGGTTCTGGCACACCCTGGGATATTAGAAATTGCAGTCCATCCTACATCCCAGGGAAAAAGTCTGCAAGTGGAGCTAAAGGTGAAAAACTTACTTGTACTCTGAAGAGCTTGTTTTGCAGACGAAATTTCAGATGAGGATAATTAAACCACTTCTTGGAGAACCGAGTCTGATTTCACTGGGCCTTTTAGTATATAAGATCTTTCATCAAGTGACTGGCATGGTCCTGATTGGAGCCCACTAATTATCCTAACCAGCTATTTTCATCGAGTGCACGGCATGGCGTGCTGACGTACACGTACATCGCGGCTGTGCATCCCGAAATGCTGCAATCAATATTAATGTACTCTAAATCACACTTCCATCTGTTTTGGAATTAATAAAACGCAAAATAGATGTCCTTATTTCCCTCTCTCTTTCTCTCTTTTAGCAAAATGCTTCAAAAGTCACCCATATACCATCTCCGTGGGTTGGCAATGGAAAGTAAGTATTTTATGAAAATTGCTTTTTCACGAAAATGAGTGATTTTCTAGACCCCCAAATATATTACGCTGACAACTCAGGAGTAAAGGTCCATTCTCAATCTATGGTCATTTTTGTGCATACAAAATACTAGCCAGATTGTAGCTAATGGGAAGACAGAGAAGTTTAAAATGATGTGGTTCCAATTCTTTAACTATTTGATCTTTAAGCCAAATTATAGCCATAAAAATATCTGCTAATGAGATGGCAAGCACTATGCTATTTCAGAGAGGCAGGGGAAAGTTAACTCTACTGCAATGATTTGTCAGTGATTCACTCGGTAATGAAAGACCAATGAAATATTCATTGATATATGATAAGTGCTGTTTAATAAAACCAAAGGCATAATAGTGCTGAAAATGTGAAGGCACTTGGTCAGCCAATTATCCAAGCCTTCATGAAGTTTTTTTTATTAATACTAAAACACCCTGACCTAAAATTTTAAAAAAGCATCTACTATAATGCTGATCTCGGGCTCAGTGAATTCCCTTGTGCCCATGGCTTTATTTAGAGTTCTATTTGTTTGGGGGAGGTCGGTCTTAACAGTATTGGAGTAGGGGTCCAACAAACCTTTGACTTGGTCCCAAGGTTGTCCTTGGATCACAGATAAAGTCAGTGGGCCCCTTCCTCTACTGGGGCTTGTTTGTGTCCCGATAAAATGAAGGAGCTGGACCTGATGCCCGTTGAATAGTCAATTCATATTGAAAATGAGTTTGGATCCTGCTTCTGCGGCAGCCACAAAGTGGCCGCTATGTGCCCTTGCTAACTTGTCTGAGCATCAGCTTCTCCTGTGATTCCTGAACTTCCCTCACCACCCTAATCCCACCTCCCATCCCCACCCCCACCCATAGCGGAAAGAGAAGCTATTCTAGATGATTGTGGGCATAGACCGTCGCCAAGAGCCTGTTTTATAACTCCAAGCTGTTTTTTCAGTTTTCCATCATTTCAAAATTCTTGCATCTTTGATCAAAACATTTCCTCCAAGAGTAAAACAGTCTCTACTACTACTTTATAAATACCTACAAGGCATACTCCAAACGCAGTGGGACAACGAACTCTACTTTGAGATCATAAAAACATTTAGAGCTAAGGAAAGATCCATTAAAAACTGCACATTAACTCAATTACTGTACTGAAAGGAAGCGCCGGTTTAGTTGTTGCATTAGGTCTTACCCTTACAATGATGAACAAAAGGGAAAGAATGTTCCCCTCTGGAAGTTCAGAAAATAAAAATAACCAGGGAAAGGCCCAGAGAAAGCTATTTTCTCTGAGCACAGTGTAAAGCAAGGGCAAGGTCAGGTAAGCAGCTATTAAAGGATCACTGGGAAAAAAAAAAAAAATGTGGGTTTTTTTTTTTTTTTTTTGAATTCTGAAATGAAAGAACTCAAACATATCCTGAGCTTGTGAAGTCACATGAAAAGCCTCCTGAAATGATGTTTAAGCAGCTTCTGTCTGAAGAAAGCATACTCGCTTTAGCAGGCCATGGAGCTTTTGAATGAGACAACTCAAAACAGTCGCCCAGGGGTTACATCCCGTTTATTCAGCAAATACTTCAGGTGCATCTGTAGCACCAGGGTCTGGGGACATGTTGCTGAATTCAATGTGGTGCCTGCACTCCAGAAACACAGTCCAGTAGAGGGAGGTGACAGGTATTACAGAAGTGCTGTGGAAGTTCAGGAGAAAGAGCTTGGGCCTCCCTGTGTGGTCAGGAAGGGCTTCTTGTTTGCAAGCAAAACTATGGTCTGATTTCCTGGGGGAATGAGTATGGTGTAACCCACAAAGGGCCTCTCACAGCATCTTACATTAACTGCATCTCTAACTTCAAACCCTCCTAGGCCGGCTAACAATTGGGAAGTCAGTTGCCCCAGGGTGGTCATGGTATGGCCCCCTCTCCATGGATGAGGGCTCCATATGAAAGTCTTGGGATAGATGAGCAAGGGTTTGAGAAAAGACCTTCAACATCAGCCTCTGTGGGAACTGGGAAGAAAAATGCACAGAAAAAGTTTGAAGAAAGAGCAGAAAACTCTTCTTGATCTATAACAGGGGTCAGCAAGCTCTTTGTATAAAGGACCAGATGCTACATGTTTTTGGCCTTGCAAGCTAAGAGGCAAAACTGAGGTTATTATATGGAAGAATATAACACATAAGACAAATTTTCACAGTAATATAGAAAAATATAAGACAGAAGACAAAGTTCCGCAAAATTTTAGTGACAAAATTCAAAATACATTATCATGTATGATTTTTGAAATACAGGTCTGTCCAACCCAACCCTGGCCAAAAAAAAAAAAGAAAGAAAGAAAGAAATGTCTAAAACACAGGTCTGTTAAGAAAAAGAAGGGACTTCCTATTTAAATTGGCATTTGAAGATACTATTGCCTCCAATTGATTATAAATGTTTAGCTTTTCAAATCATCCAAAGCTTACAGGGCATACAGAAACAGACAGGAGGGCCAGCTTTGCCAACCTTTCCCATAGGATTATGGCAGCCACATGTTGAAGAGTTTAAAGTGTCTGGGCATCAATCTCAAATGTCATTGAGACATAATAAAAAGAAAAGAGCTAGGAAGGCTGCTGAATGTTGAGAGGATGCTTTCTGAGGTCTTCAGAAGAGCTGTTTCAGTGCACAGGTGGACGTGAGTGCCACACTGACAGTGTTAGAAGAAGGGATGTCTCCGCTTGAGACACTGGCCACTTAAAGCAACACGAGGAGTCTGGTGTTCACTAAAGGAACCATCCAGGCCAAGAAAAAAGCTTCTCCCCAAGTTTTTGGATTGCCTGGCCTGTATGAACAGAGATTAGATACCTACAAGCCTGGGGAGAAGAGTGGAAACAAACCAATGTGCACACGAAGGTGAAGGTGAGAGCAGGGTGGACACTCATGTCTCATGAAATCTCTATTCAAGTGGATGGTAAGACTTTGAGGTAACTTGGTAGAATGGGAAAAGAATGAACTGTGGAAGATAACAGAGCTGCTCTTTCAATTGTGTGGCCCTCAGGAAGGAATTGAACTTCTTTGAAGCTATTTTGTCATCCGTGAAACAATGGTAGCTGAAATTTCTATGCAGAGTTGTGAGGCTTCGAGATAATGTCTGTGAAGCCCTGAGCTTAGCACACAGTAACTGTTCAATAAATGATGGCTGTCACTGTTACTGCCACTAGTACTGTTGTCATTATTACCTTCTCAAGTTGGAAAACATATGCAATCCTGCCCCTCTTGGTCTGTACTCATTTTGACACTTATGCTATGTTGCTAGAAAATAATGGATTTTGCTCTTCTGTTAGAACATTTGCTCTTTTTCAATAAGGCACCATGCATCTTTTCATTCAGCAGATATTTATCAAATGCCCTCTATGTATGGGACACTCTGCCTGGTCCTTCACAAACACATAGCCTATCCTTCTGCTATATACCTTGTTCTCCTTCCCTCTAGAACACTTTATATGTAGTGGATCTAAAATAAGGAATGGCAACAATCCAATCATTTATTCTGTTGGTTTATTGAGGACATATTATGTGCCAGAAACTATTGTAGATTCCGAGGTATAGCACAGAGTGCAAAACAGATGGAAGCCCCTGCCCTTCTCAAGGCCAAATTCTCTTAGAGGATAAAGACAGTAACAAGCATGTGGCGTGCTAAATGATGGGAAATGTCATAGAGGAAAAGGGAACAAGGAAACTAGAAAGAAAGGGTTATAAGAGAGGAGGGAGCAGTGGCACACTTTGAGTCTTGCAGTAGGGGTATTAGAGGATGGTAGAGCAAGCAATGTCAATACTTGGGGATGCACTGTCCAGCAGAGGGATGTCAGTGGCCTCTAGGGTGGGACGGAGCATGCCTAGTGGCTTTGAGAAATAACAAGGGGACACATGTGGCTGAGAGGTGAGAGAAGATGGTGGGATGCCTACAGCAATGAGAGCCAAGTCAGAGTAGAGAGCACACCGGGGTGAGTGCACTCTGCATTGGCCTTCCTGTAGCCACCATCACAATTTCTTAGGTTTCAATATTTTCATTTCATAAATATGACATAGTGTACATACATGCTCTCCAGAACACATCAGATTGTAGACCCCAAAATGAGAGTAGTAATGACCCCAAACAAAGCCTTACCCTAGCTTTTCTAGATTCTGCTACTGAGTATTTAAATGAAAGAAAGTAGAGAATGGAAGGGGAAGAGAGCTCCTACGTGTAACACTTCCATGTGATCAGGTCAAAAGGGAAAGGGCTTTTCAAGATGTGCCAGGTAAAGAGATGTTTGGCTTTCCCTTGTGACTCTGGACATAGCTGATAATCATTGATACCAACCTTTCCTCTCAGTTGAAGAAAATAAGGCCTAGCAAGGGGAGGGGTCAGGCTCAGGCAGATCTGGGGCTAGAATCCAGGTCTCCTGGGATCCCAGTACCTCTTTTCCAGCACCACACAGTCCCTCTTTCAACATCTGTGGCGCTTGACAGCTTTGTCATTGTCTCCAGAGAGTATGAATGAGACCATATTCCATTCTTGCCACAAATGGACATTTAAAGAGTTAATGACCACTATTCTGGGAAAAGACTAAAAAATAGCACTTTTAAGCTTCTCCAATAAAGAAACCCAGTATTCACTGTTTTCTTTTTTTTTTTTTTTGTAATTGGCTAACTCTTCTGTGCTTAAGCCCCTTAGTGTGGACATCTCATTATCCCACTCCTGACTTGAGAAGAAATCATTCTACTAAGAAGTAAGAAAATATCTCAGCAATTATAAATATGCAGAAATATCCACCAACCCCCTTATAGCAGACAAGTACAGAGCAAGTATAAGGGTATACTTTCCACCTGACACCAGAACAAACGAAAAGAGAGACTCTGTTGGCAGAAATGGTCCAAATCTCTCCCATGGCCATAGACACAGTCATGATGGCTCCCTGATCTCCCAGTACTTCAGCATCTTGGGACACTGTGATTGCTGCTCCCTAAATCATATGTGCGTGGTGCCTGTCAGGGTGCATGTCTGTTCTTTGAGCCACCCTGGAAAGCTAGAGTTACCCACATCAGCATCTGGTAAGGGGATGGCGATGAGGATGGGACAAGGTTTCTTGATGATGTTTCTGGAGATTCAGAGGAACAAGGTAGAAGCTCCTTCAAACATGCAGAGTCATGGAGTCTAAAACATAGCTTCCCCCATTTCTTTTACTCCCTTAAAATGTTCTGTCCTAATAAAGTGGTACTTTTGCCTGGGAATTGTTCAAAGTGTTCCTGGAGGAGGATAGGGAGGCCGAGAGGCATACTGATATTGCCCCTATGCACAGGAAGCCCCCCCCATGCTTTGAGGAAGTCCCTGGGCAAGTCTACAGCATGCTGAGCTAAGGCCAGGCCCTGAAGGAAAAATGACCTCCACGTTGTACACAGGCAGCAGGTGATCGCTTATTGCTGATGTTAAAGAATCAGTGAAAATCTATATGTCCAAACATTGGTACTACCCAAAATGAGTCCTCTTAAGACTTCTCTTTATAAACCAGCATGCAAGTGAACAGTCACCAATTAACAGCCCATCTCTGCAGCATGTCTTAAAGAATCCTAAAGAGAGATTAAGAATTCTACTTTTTCCAGCTTCCCCAATAGTGCTCCTTAGGGAGCTGTTAAGATTTGCACTTTGCTTATTGTGGTAACTGTATTTGGAGCAAATTGTCATTGTGGTTTCCACAAAACACTTTGATGATAGGCCAATATTATACATCAAATGTTTTCTAACTGCTAATAGCTATTCTGGCAGCAGGTGGAGAAATCATCATAGCTCTGAGCTGTTTTTTTCTGAAACATTATAACACTTGTTATATATATTCAAAGTAAGAGATACATTTCTGAGTAGAATTAATGCCAGGGAAAGATTCACCCAGCTCTCTCTGGTATTTTAAGACAAAAGCAGCACTGCGCATGATCCCTCAGTGGTTGTCAAAGGTGGTGACGTGTTTAGTGTTAGAAAGGGAGACGAGGGAGTTCTTCTACAGCCTGGCACTGTCCCCTGGGTGGCTCAGTCCATTGGGGCAGGTGTAGGGCAGTAGTACGATCTCTCTATGGAGAAGCCCCTGGAAGAAGCTATTGTGTTGATGAAAACTGTAGGATGTCCTCAGAGAAGAGGTGGCGAGATGTGGGAACAAACTCCACTCTCCTGCGTCTTCATATATGTTCACCATGTAAACTTCACTGTGGAGAATGGCAAGCTGCTGTGATTCCAGTGTGATTAGGGAGCTCTTGAACCCTACTGTCACTCTTTCTTGCCCAGCTAACAGGGCTCATTTCTTTCCATCCCCCAGGAACACTCCATACCCAGTGTCTCTCAACAATGTCTCTGCCATCAATGCAATGGGGAACTGCAACAACGGCCCGGTCACCATCCCTCAGCGTATTCACCACATGGCTGCCAGCCACGTCAACATCACTAGCAACGTGTTACGGGGCTACGAACACTGGGATATGGCGGACAAACTGACGCGAGAGAACAGAGGTATGCTCATCTGCTCCCCTCGCTGCTCCCAGACCAGGCTGGAGCTAACTGTGCTCTGCAGGACTTGAATTTTGGTGGCCTTTTGTCTTTCTGTCTCCCGATTTCCAGGGTGTTCACTCAGGGCTAGCACAGTGACCTACAACTGCTGAGAGAGTGAAAAAGTCTTGGATTTTGTTCTCCTTTAAAACCTAAGCATGAACTGTGAGGTGTTGGCAAATAACTATTTGGGAATTTCACTCAGGGATAAGGACCAACACAGAGAAACAGAGGCAAAGGAAAAGAATGATTTGAAAATTAATAAGATTATTTGGGCTTCTGTTAATTTTTTTTTTTGAGACGTGAAGGTAAAGTAGGGCCTTCTACCTTTATTATAATCGTCAGCCCCAGATGAATAAATGACAATGCAATGAGGGTCAAAGTCAACTGGTTTTACTCACACACTGACAGCTGAGATGAAGGAGTGAGTCCTATTCATGGTAATGCGTGAGGTTTGCTACAAAATAAATACAAAAAGGACCTGGATTCACCAGAAAGCAGGCCCATGGTCTTTGGTGAGTCATGCTACCACTGAGGCTCACAACCTGACAATGCTAAGGAAGGTAGAAAGTAAAAGTAAGCTGTGCTTTTGCCCCAGCCATTCATCTGACTTGGCTGATTCTGGCCCAGTAGTCACAGACTGCAACGCTATATTCAAAGTGGAAATAGCTGTGGGCTTTTCAGAATCAGACTGCAAAGGGGTGACCAGAAATTTAGAGTAGAAATTTCTGGCCAGTAATGGGGACACTTGAGTGCTGCTAGGTCACGAGCAGTTACAGTGGACCCTCTATGTCCACAGGTTCAACATCCACAGTCAACCAACCATGGATCAAAAATATTCAGGAAAAGAAAACAATAAGAAGTAACAATACAGCAATAAAAAATAATACAAACTGTAAAAAATACACCATAACAACTCTGCATAGAATCCACATTGTCTGAGGCATTATAAGTAATCTAGAGATGATTTAAAGTACACAGGAAGATATACTGAAGTTATATGTAAATACCACCTCATTTTATAACAGGGACTTCAGCGTCCTCAGATTTGGGTATCCTTGCAGGTCCCAGGATACTTAGAGATCCCAGCTTGGGGCTGCAAGCCATATATGTGCAGATGGAAGTTCCCATGAGTTTAATTAAGGACTTACTGGGCCTCCTGGCCCAATTCTTCTACCAAGCCCCAGAGTCCTCACAGGCCAGGACTCCTGGGAATATGTCAGGAGTCTTAGAGTTTTACACACTTGGGTTTTTTTTTTAGTTTAGTTTAGTTTTGTTTTGTTTTTTGAGACAGGGTGTTGCTCTGTCACCTGGGCTACAGTGCAGTGGCATCATCACAGCTCATAGCAACCTCAAACTTAGACTAAAGCAATCCTCCTACTTCAATCAGCCTTCCGAGTAGCTGGGGCTAAGTCACACATCACCATGTGCAGCAAAATTTTTAATTTTTTATAGAGATTTAGGACTTATTTTCCCTAGGCTGGTTGTGAGGTCCTGACATCAATTGATCCTTGGCTTGGCCTCCCAAAAGTGCTAGGATTACAGGCATAAGCCACCGGACCTGGCCAGAGTCTGAAACAATAAGTTACACTGCCCGTGAAGATAGTGAGATTAATAGCAGGTCTTCAGAAACCTTAGGCGAGATCCTGAACAACTTACCTGAACAATGGGCAATTTCTAAGCTTGTCTACTTTTCTGAACTTCTGGAAATCTAGAGACAACCAGTGCATACAACCAGCCCCATCCAAGGGTTGTAGAGTTGCAAAGAAAGACATTACACGTCTTAAGATTTGCCTTGCTTGTCTGCCTTCACACTCTGTCTTATTTTGTATTGGTATCTAGAGGGCAAGTCGATATTTATGGATTTCCTTTATCATTGCATCCATTTTTAAAATCTGTTAAAGTAATTCCTTCTAAATTAACTGCCGAACTTTCCAGGAGCAATGTGGTGGCTGTGCTGATGTTAGGGTGAAATGGTGCTAATCTTGTCATTAACACAGCATGTCAAGGTGTTACTAAATTCCTTATGTTATATTGCATCAAAACAACTCTGTCACTCAACCAGCAGAGAGAAAATGTGTCCTGCTAACGCTTTTCAGTGAACTAGGGAGAGGACGTAGCATGGAATCTTCTGCCTACAGCCTTGAGTTTCACATGCTTGTCATTTTTCATTTGCTCAGCTTTGGGGATTCTTCTTACATCTGCCTTGTTCGTATAGACAGGGGGAAACTGAGGAGCTTGCCATTTTATGGGAGCTCTGCACGTTACTGGAGACAAGTGTGCACTCACACCTTTTTCTACCCAAATGTACAGTGGAGATGGGTGAGGTGGGCTGTTCCACTGGAAGGTCTCTATCTCCGCCTCCTGCCAGCCCACTGTGCAGCTGTACATGGCTTATTTACAAGGTTCTGGTGCTAAAATGGGCCAATGGGATTGATGCTGTACCTCTGGCCTTTGTTCTAGAAGCTCTGTTCCCCTCCTGGCCAGCTGCTTATGTTGCTCACTTGGAGTGGTTATTAAAATGGTGACCTGGGCATCTAATTAGGAATGCCACAGAGAGCTTCATAGAAAATACCCAGGGAAGGAACACCCTGGCTCACATTCATTCAACAATGAATAGGTCCTTTAACACTTTCCTTAGTATTGTCTTATGTAAGAAAATATTTAAAATGCCAAAAATAATTTGCTCCTTTTTCTGCAGAAGTCCTTTTTATTGCATATCACAGGTTTGAAAGTTTCACATAATCAAATGAAGTTGATACCTAAAGAAGGAGCCCATATGTTATATGGGACATGAAGAATAAATGCATTGTTTGGTAAAATACCATCTGGTGAACAATCCGGCACATGTAACCCATGCATGGAAATTGCTTTCTGAGAAGTCAGGAGAGCATCTCAACCACTTTAGGGTGCTCTCTGGACTCTGCCCCCAACCAAGATTGCTCACTTCCAGCCAGCACAGGCATTGGGAACTAACCTAAGTACCAGACAAATGAATTTGCATGTCAAAAGGGGACACCTAGGTAATTTTTAGACATCATAAATTTTTTACGACATACTACCCTCCACTCCACAAGGCAGACATTCTAAAACTCCGGTCACCTTGGTTAGTAGTGTAGCCTCGGGGCTGCCCTCTTCTCCAAGTCAGCCAAGAGGGAGTCAGCTGGGCATTTATTTCTATTATTCATGTCCTAGGAGGGGTAAGGGATGTTGCTATGTTACAGAAACTTGTGAGTCATTTTCCACTCCCAATGTTAAGTCTGGAATAAGACTTACCAAATCAGATTCTTCCTAGACGTTTATTTGGCTCTGGAGGCAAATTGCTGTCCAGATTCACTAGCTTTGTCTATACCATGCCAAGAAAAATCAGCAAACTCAGTTCATTTAGACAAAAGGAAGGGAAAAGAGAATGACAAACAGCTTGACAACAGACCATGGCTCCCCAACATTTTATGTGTAAAATATAAATGTGTAATATAAAGACGTAAATTTATTATATACTATAAATATATATAAACATGCTTGTATATAAGTTATGTGTATATTTTTAAAGATATAACATTAAAATGTTACATAAATATATAGACAAATACATACATATATAATATTTAATTATATATATATATGTGTGTCTCTCTATATATAATATATATCTGTATATATAAAACTTCCACAGGATTATAATGTACTTTTATAATCTTCTGTCTGAAAAAATATATCTTTTTTTAAAACTTGGTATGAATTCAGTAACAGATTTAAATGAATTTATGCTTTATTAGTTACAATAACACAAACACTCCGGGGGCTGCAGTGTTTGGGGAGCTGACTAGTAATCGTGCTTGTTGTATATATATGGAGTTTTGATCCCATAGTAATAACTCTATAAATTTTTGTTGAATGAGAGAACAAATGTGTCACTTTTCCTACATGCACATGCTTGTGGTGTTGTATAAAGGTAGTGTGTCCGTGTGGTGTGTATTTGCATGGCATCATGTGACGGTCTGACAGAGGATTGCTCTGTTTTTTTCAGAATTCTTTGGCGATCTGGACACACTGATGGGGCCTCTAACTCAGCACAGCAGCATGACCAATCTTGTCCGCTACGTTCGCCAGGGACTGTGTTGGCTGCGCATCGACGCCCATTTGTTGTAGTGGGTGTGCTCCTGTGTCCAGTGTCATCCCCATCACTCTACCTCTACCAGCACACCAATGGTCACTGGTGGAATTCCACTCATTGGGGAAAGTTCTCTTTGGTTATCTTTATTTTTATGCTTCTTTTAGTCTCTTTCAAAAACAGAAATCATTGAAAGTGGACACTACAACTTGAGAGCAGCATATGTTTTATTACTTAGTGGTTTTTTAGCATTTGATCTGCATTCTCAGATCCCACCATCTTTTTATGCTTTATAGAATGATAGTTCCTACCATGTTGTTTTAAGTCCACACTACCCAACACAAAGAATGGGAGGCATTTGTGAAGATGGCAGGTTCCTGAGAACATAGAAGCAAGGGATCTGCTGAGACTTGCAGTAATAGCTGTCCCCCAAACTATACTATTATATCCATAAGAGAATGTGTTTCAGAATTCATTGTTAAAATTTTGTGGTTCCCACAGACTCAATCTTCAGGTGAGAATTTTCATTGCCACAACTCGCTGGTTAGATGTTGTAGCAATATCACAAAATCAAGAGAATCAAGAATAGAGATGAACATAGCAATGTGGCACTTAAAATGATGCTATGTGACACAACCAGAGGACTTCTTGATAGCATCCTTTCCGGATTGCTCATTTTTTTATTTCAATGATGAGAAGGAGGGACAACATTTATTTTGACAACTTTAAGGCATCAGCTGACATAAAACAATGAAGTACATGATATGAAACATGAATCTTCACCTGGGATTCACTTTGTGCAAAGTTCTCCTTTTGGAGGAGCAGTTTGGCAGATGCCAAAATGCTACACTCCAGTTTCACAGTTGGGAGATAAGACAGGTCTGGAAAATGTCTAAGAAGGAATTAACACTTTTGCTTTCTTTGCAGTTGGTAGGCAGGTCCATAACTGACAGGATTTTTCAACTGTGTTTTGCTTAAATGTATGGAAACAAAAGACAAGTTATCACTACCTGGAAGTAATAATATGCAGTTTTCTTCTTAGTGGCTTTAAAATCTGGGCTTCTCTAATTATTATCCATATTTTCTGTTGCAAGATTTCTTTTTTCTACTTTCTTTAGTTTTTTAACCTCTGTTTCCTTTTCCTTTTTCTTTTTTGGCTCATTGGTTTTTAACTGAAATATGAGCACTGATTTTATTAAATTCTACATTAACATAAATCATTTCCATGAAAATCACAAAGAAAACTCCAAACTAGCAGTAGTAGCTAGTAGTAGCTAGCTAAAAAAAAAAAAAAAAAAAATGAGTCTTGGAGTACTCTTTACCCTAAGGTTCTTTGAAAGAGCCCTGAAGACTGAGCAGTTCATCTAATTTGGAGACATTTTCCCCTTTGGTTGTGATTCCCCCCACCTTTTATGATTCTTTATATTCATTTTATGTTCCTAAACATCACAATGTAAATATCACCATTTGTGTCCCAGGTCACCAGAAGAGTTCCCCAGTTGTAGTAAACACTATCCATGCATTTGTTACCTGTTATTACCTACCAGTAGATAATTCCACTTAGCATTTAATCTGCTGAGTTATTGAATTTTGTTCACTGGGTTAGGACAAGATAAATAATAGATATGCACATGAACGATGCAAATTTGAGTGACTTTTAAAGCAAGTCATGTGGGTCTGTGATAGCAGGTGATCACTCTGTACTCTCATCGTCAAGGTTAGATATATCCTGAGTCGCAAAAGAGCCACACTTGAGCTGTGCTCTGGCCGTCTTTGAGTTTAAGGCCCTTTGTTGTATAATAAAGTTGTGAAAATTGTACTCCAATGGCTGAAGCCATGCTGTTAATATGGCTGATGGGAGCATCCCAGCAGCTGAACCCAGCACTTTGTATGCTCCCACTGTGGTTGAGCTTTACGTTTACAGTCTCAACAACAACACTTACTCATGCATGCAAACACACACACGTGCATACAAACACACATACACAAATGAAACCTTAATCTTTTCTGAGCCTATTAAATGAGGAAAATGATCATGTGAAAGATTCTGAACACCCAAGGTGGTGTCACATATAAAAATTAAGCTGATGACTTTGCAGTGACTCAGGTTCTCTGTTTTCCATAACTTAGAGGGCCTGACTATTAAAATATAAGGGAGCTCACTGGCTTGACTTGTGAATTCAACCTAGACCACAATCCTAGACCATCATGGATTTAGGAATAGACGCATCTTGAAATTCAATCTTCAGAAACTAGGCATTAGAATGCTAGAGGCAGTTTCCCAGGGAAACAAGCTTATTGCCACATGGGTGATAGACTTGTAGTTCTAGTTTCAGCAACTTGTTATATCTACTTACAACAGGGAGGCAAACGGATTCGCTGTCATTTCTGGTGGCTGAATGTAAAGTATGTGCCAAGTCAGCAGCACAATTATCAAATCTGACAGTTGAGCTCTGGATCACTGCCTGATTATTTAGTAGACCCATTTTTAAATCAGGTTAGAAGCCAATTAAACATGGAGGATGAATTACCTTCCTCTCCCTGGAGATAAGACATCTTTCGATTTCACGATTAAGGATTGTTGCTGTTTTCTAGGTACTCTATTCATCACACTGTAAATGGTGATATGTGTCGTAGGTGTGCAGGTATTGGAGGGATCAAAGGATTGAGATATTTTGTCAAGTGAATCTCTTCAGCATACAAATTTGTGAGAGAGCTATGAGATATGTGAGAGAGAGGGCATGCCTCTACACCTTGACAAAGACTTGGTGACACACAGCTACATAAGCACATGGAGGTGGGGTGGAGGACAGAGTAACAGGCAGCTCCACCTGAGCAGTACACTGAACCATCTCAGCCCTGCAGCTTGACCCAGGTAGGGCCACCACTATGCCTTCCTTTATCACCCAAGCTCCAACCACAGAGAGTTTGACAAGTCTGTGTGATGATGCTGGCTTGGCTTTGTATTTTTAATTAACTTTGGATTTTTTAGTGGTTTTGTCATATTACTGTCTGAGTTTGGTAGGTAGGATTAATTTGAAAAGAGTTTGCTAGTGTGGTCCTCCGGGTAGAATTTAGCTGTAAGCATGTTGTTAGCCAGCCTGTAGAGTGTTAATTACTTAATAAGCTCATTGGGAAAATACTAGTAGTTTTATATTTGGATGACATAATTGGAAAAGCAGATTAGCTGCTTCTACTTTTATAATAAAAGACTTGAGGTTGGGATGACTTTTTCCCATGTAAGGAAATAAAAAGATCCAAATCTTCAGGCAATAACCAAGTTGCAAAATTAGAAACCATTGGCTAAAATGTGTTTTTTTGTGTTTCCAAATGGTTAGAGTTTCATTTGGGCATTACATTGCTACGTGCTTTGGATTTGGTCTGCATTGGAAAGATATTTGTTCTATTATATCTTCCTAAAGTTATCTAATTTGGATTTTCTTTTATTCAAATTTCCATCCTGGAGGTTGAAGTTGGAGTTTGAAGTTGAAAGCATTTTTGAAGGCAGAATCGATTGAGTTGTTAGGGTAAAGCCCTCATATACTTCTCAAGAGACATGATAAAATTCATCTGCATGAGTTGGCAGGTGGAAAAACCAAACTGGATCACTGAGTAGGACTACTCAGTAAAGCAACAAACTGCTTGCTTATAGAACCATCACTATCCCCATTGAGAAAAAGCGTGTGGCAAGATGATATAGCTACACAGTATTAAACAAATGGGTCGATTCAGTGCCCCAAAATTCAATTCTGTGGGGAAAATTTATTGGGCCAGTTGTGAAAGTTCTGTTACTCAACTGGCAGACAGAATTCTTTGTCGTTGTTATTGTTGTTGTTGTTTCTCATTTCCATTCACACAGCCTTATTCTCATAAATAAACTCTGATTCATTTTCTCTTTGGTGTTAGCAAACTCCAGCAGCAGAAATGGCATCTGTATATTGATAATCAGCATTTACCCCGGCAGGAGACTAATCAGATAGGCTGGTCTTAGACATTAATCCAACCATCTGATATTTTGGGCAAAAGAAAAGTATTAATTCCCTTTCCATTCTCCTCCTCACAAATCTAGAAGCCCTCTTTACCAAAAGCATCACATTTTACCCTATAATCTATCAACTAAAAGAAAATTGTATCGTAGGGAGGGCAGGGGGGTGGGAGTGGGGGTGGAGGGTGGGGAAGCCCCTCTAGGCCAGATTGCAGTTCTTGCCCCTTTTTGCTTCTGACATGAGATGTTAAAGAATTATTCATAGTGCTCGCATTGGTTTAGGGAACACTGTACTGCTTTTCAGATCCATGATCAATCATCATTCTTCTAAGAGATTGGAGCTTTGCTGTTTCATTAACTGTGCAGTGTAGACTAATGGTGTTTAATAAAAATCATTCAAAATTTCAAACTCTTTTGCCAGTGACCTCAATTTTGTTGGCTGTTTGATTTGTATCAGACTTTGAGGAGGGACGGGGGGAAGCAAAGGAAACATGCTTCCAGGTCCCAAGCAGGTCATTGCAGTGGCAAACTCAAGTCGCTGGAGAACAGCATCATGTAGACCAGCTGTGGGAAACCTCCTGAAGAATGTCCCACTGGATGATCTCAGCTGGGGATAGCTTTTTTCTACTAAGGGATTCATTGCTATCCAATATCTGCAGCAGGAAGCCAGCTGCCATGTCCAAAGAGAATTTCAGGGACTTTACCTTTTTGGTTTTGTCCTGAATCACTTATGTGGCTACCACATAGTGGTATCTCTGAAAGTAGAGCCCAGTGTAGTGACAACGGGTAGCCAAATGCACCCCTGATGCACATGGCCCTCTGCTGGTTCTTCAGTGCTTATGAAATTGGGGGTAAAGGAACCCCTGGAGAGGAGGCAAAATTGGAGAAACCCCAGAGAGGCCAAGTGGATTATGTATTTCCCAGACCAAGGGCTGACTTCTTTTGTCAGCCTGGCATCCAACCAGTGGTGTGCTTGTAAAATATTTAACAACCAGCTCACTGAGAATAGAAGGCACCTGATTTAAAGCATTTGCCAATTTCTATGGTGTAAATATTCCCACTATGGCTTATTTGAAGCTACCAAATGTGGCATCACTGAACACAGACATGGGAAGAGATGCG